GACGTGTGCTCTTCCGATCTCTGTATAAAAATATTAATATTAAGAAAACACATATTGCGCAATAATAATACAATCAACTTTTCAAAAAAGTTTTTCGTAATGTTGAATCTTACTGAAAATCCCGAAAATGTTGGTTTTTCGGAAATTTACTTATTTTAAAGATTTGTGTTGATGACTTACTCAACTATTGTTAATACAAATCAATATTACCTGGTAATAGTAAAAATATGTCCTTCACCGTTTCGTTTGCGCATCGAAGACACTGCTTTGTTCGTACACACGGCGACTGCAAGGACATTAGTATCTAATAGTTTTTCATATGTCTTCCCCTTGCTATCTGCAAATGTAATTTAAGAATTTTTTTTTTAAGGAATCAACACACACAAGACCAAAGTCTTTTATTGTATAATAATGCCCTAACTCGTTATTGCGAGACATTTTACGCGACAAAAGTAAGAATCCCCTTTTTCCAATAAGAAACACAACATCCTCCGCGTAAGACATTGTGTTAACACGTCTCGCAGTATTTGAAGAATTCGCGATCGAGGGCCGATTAAATGTCTGATTTAAAAAGCTAATTTCAATTGCGAAATGCTATTAAGATCGTTCAAAAATATAATGTCTTATGCGGAGGATGTTGTGTTTCTTGTTGGAAAAAGGAGATTCTTAATTTTAAATAATAATTATTTAAATAATCATTTAAAAGTCTGTAATTTATAGCATTCTGTATATATACGTGACATCAATCATCATACCTATTATTCGTGAACGCTTAATAATGCCTGCATTGTTGACCATAATATCCACACCACCTAACGTCTCGACTTCTGAGAATGCTTTTTTGATGTCGTCCTCGCTATTTATATCGCAGCATATAGTATACAACGTGCCCAAGGTTCGGGAACCTTCCTGCTTACATTCCGCATTGAGCTTTGCTAATCTTTCTTTCTGGATATCCAGAGCAACCACGTTCACTCCATTTTGCAGAAGACCACGTGTAATTGCTTCGCCGATGCCGGATGCAGCGCCGGTAACGACTGCGATTTTACCACGCCAACGAAGCATAATTATCTGCAAGTACAACATAGCTCGCGGTTGTCACTAATAACTATCGAGCCGAAAATAATGTCAGGCTTGTAAAAAACATATTCATAAGCATTCACAATCGCAGCAACAATAAATTCATTAATAAATTTGTGAAAATGGCATTTTTCGATTAACAATGCTAAAGTATATACTTACTTGCGTATCTTCTATTCGCAACCGCCAACAGAACTGATGTGATATGACATGCACTGTGAAAATCGCTATATTCCGGATGGACTCGTGATAAGAATAGAAAAAATGTTTGATGTAGCAGATTAAAAGTCAAAGTCAATATACGGACTGCGTATGGCAAACTTACGGAACGTTAAAACAAGTACAGACTTGTTCAGTATCGTATAATATCAGCGTTGCGTATCAATTCAATGTTACGTAACGCTGATATGATACGCAAGTGTGTAGGCTATATAGCAATTTTAAAGTGAGCGTAATCAGGAATTTTATTAATCTCGAAGGTCTTATGATTACATATACAAGTAGGTATATGTATTTATAATAATTCTCTATGGGGTTGACCGAGGCGAATCGGATCAATATAAGTGTTGAAACAGTTATCGATAATTTTTTTTCTTTCAAATGAGTAGTTTTATCATTTTAGTTAACCAGCCAAAAACAGCTCATTAAAAAAAAAATTATTGATAACTGTATCAAAACTTATATTGACCCGATTTACCTCGGTCTACCCTAAGCAAATATTAGTGAATATTCGCTAATGTATATATTTTGTCCAGTAGCAACTACTTCGTCGGAATTTAAATACAATGATTACACACAAACATAAAACCTGTAACGTTGGATCGCGAAATTTGTCACAAATCTAAATTCCGAGTACCTATATTTTTAAAGCGATATGTACGCACATACAAGTATAAGGCATCGCGCGAGATAAACGATAGCGATATCTGATAGTTGATAGTTGATATTTATCTCCTGGCAATATATTAAACATAAATTTCTAATATACATTCTTGCATTTTAAAATACATGCAAAATATTTTTACAGTATCATTTTCTATGTATTATTATAAAACACAAAGATAAACATACAAATATTTATTTCCTTAGCTCTATAAATTTTATTGGATCGTTCATTTGTATTTCCATTTAGTTATAAATGGATGCACATAAAAAATATTATATTAGCAAAATTATTAAGTTAAACGTAGACAGTATTATGATAGAGAACAACAAATTTTATATTCATACAAAAATTGCAAAGCAACATAAAAGCTTAGGGACTCTTTACGAGTTTCTTACTTTATTATTAGCGTAAAATTGTTCTTTGTAAAACTGTTGATACATTAACAAAACGAGCATTTTACTGAAGATTCTTCAGAAAGACTCTCCGGTTGGCTGGATGGTAAGCTGTGTAATCTGCAATTAAACAACACGTAAGATTTACCTGTACTTATTAGGAAAAAAGTACATTAACAAGCATTTGTACCTGAACTTCCGGTCGCGTTCCAAGAGCCGCATCCGCTATGTCTGACGGTTGAAGCGTTAGTACTTTCTCGAAAAAGTCTCTCATTGTATCCGAATGTTCAAGGATGTTTGTTTTTACAGTACCGGGACTAATGCTCTGAAAAAAAATCGAACAAGTAAGAATCCAGAATAACTATCTACATTGATAAAAAGAAGGGTGCCTGGTAACATTTTGTATATAAAAATAATATAAATTTTATAATATTTTGATAACATCTAATATTACTTCAATAGATAGGCAACTGTTTACATTCTATTCACATATATGAATATCTTATTATCATAAAATGTCTACTCTTAGTAACGTATACGCAGTTTTTGTTTTCTATTGATATTGCAATTATTATAATGATTAATGTGTTTCTTGATAATTAAGAGAGATGTAAAACTTCCCCAAAAATTAGCCTTAAAATTGCATTTTTTGGGGAGTTATGGAGGGGGAAAGCAAAATTTAAAAAATTGTCATTTACATAATATTAAAAAACAAAATAAGTAACAAAAAATGAAAGCTCAAAGTGTATCTTACAGTAACTCGAATAGGAGCCTTAATTTCCGCTATTTCGAGTCGTACGGTCTGAGTTAGAGCAAGTGCTGCATGTTTACTAGCAGGATATACATTCATGGGACCCACACTCGGTATTAAATAATGGCCCGCAACGCTGTACATAACAAATATCACTATTAAAAACATGTATTACAAAAAACTAACATTATCATAAACTTTTTAAAAAGATTTTTCATAATCATCCTTGTCTTGCAGCTTATGGAAAATTCAGAAAATGTTGATTTTTCAAAAACTTATTTATTTTAGTAACGATTTATGGTTCAATTCTAAGCAGAATCGTAAGTGTCCTTGTTCTCGAAAAACTTAATTGGTAAAAACTTATGACTGGAATTGTAATTCTACGTGTACCGTAAGATATAATTATTCGTAAATATTTATGTTTTCTCATAAATCTTGCAGCTAGCAAAGCTATAAAAATTTTTGTGTAAAGTTATAAGTTCTTATAAGTCTTATGAGAACAAGTTATGAGCCCTATGATTCTAGTCAGAATTGGTATATTATTCAACTATTATTAACGAAACAGCAATACCTGATAATATTAAAAATATACCCTTCGACATTTTGTTTGCGCATCAAACGCACTGCTTTGTTCGTACACACGGAAACTGCGAAGACATTAGTATCTAACATTCTTTCAAATGTTTTTTTATCGCTTTCTGCAAATGTAATTAATGAAATTTTTTTTAAAAGATTAAAACGGAGAAGACCAAAGTTTTTTATTGTAATACTGTTCCATCTCGCTGTTGCGAGATGTATACGCGATAAAAGTACGAATCTCCTTTTTACGAAAAACTTAGCAAAAAACATAATACCTCCGCGTAAGAGGTCGTTTCGTTTTTCAACGATCTAAATAACACTTCGCAATCGAAACTAGATTTTTAAATGAGACATTTAATCGGTTCTCGAATTCTTCAAGTTTTTCCGAGTTAAAGGCATTGACACAGGTACTTATTGTAGATACATATATTAATGCATTTCTTTAAATTATTTGAAATAGATTACAACATTCGTTATTTTCTGATATTCGTAAATATATAAGTTCACATTACAAATTAATATATCTCCAACGGCATAACAGATAAGAGTGAAGTAGAATGTACAACGCATATTATATTTTTGTAAATAGCCATAGAGATAAATACACAATACACAGTGTGACAAAAAACCACTTTTTTCTCTCCGAAATGCGATAATATGTTTTCCAAAGATATTTTTTCACGCTGAACACGATGCCGTTGACAGAATTTGCCTATAACATGTTAGGATTTTGAGTGAATTGGACTGAGCAAAAAATGGCGTCCTTAGTCACTTTTAACAATTTTTTTATGGCAAAAAAAAAACTGATTTCTAAATAAACTCAACAATGTCAGAAAATGTAATTCAAGAGCTTTGAAACAAACTATAGTTCATGATCATACGACTTTTT